GAGCTGTATGAAGCCAGAGATGCCAAGGCATGCCACAGTGCTCACTAGGAAAGACTTTCCTTTTCAGAACGTGAGATGCATGGAGCTGGGGCTTGAGGGTCTCAGTTAAACATGGGCAGTTCAGACCAATAATCCAGGGCATTTGGACAACAGGGTCCAGGCATTGTGTTAGATCCAGTCACCACACAAGAGGAACTCCAGGGACCATGGCCACTCAACAGCTGTGTGCCTCCCTCTTATTGTCCTTCCACTTAGGTCATCTTGAGCCAAGACACCCTCAGTCCAAACAACAGCAGAACAGAATGGTCCTTAGAGCCTCAAATCCTATACTGACCCAACTTCTGCAGAGCCTGCCTAGAGGGTTGCAGGGAAGGGCAGCCTGGAGGTCTCAGATCCAGGTGAACTGGTAAGCTCTGTTCATGGCTTTGTTCACAATCCTGCTGGGGCTGGAGAGAGAGGGTGACACAGACAGTAAAGGGGTTTCTGTCTCACTTCCCCATCTGTCTGTGTCACTGTGGGATGGGTACCACTGTTATCCCAGGAGTTACAGTAATAGTCAGCCTCATCTTCCACCTGAGCCCCAGTGATGGTCAAGGAACCTGTGTTTCCTGACCAGGAGCCAGAGAATCGGCCTGGGATCCCCGAGGGCCTATTGGTGTTACCATAGATGACCAGCACAGGGACCTAGCCTGGCTTCTGCTGGTACCAGCTTGCATAATAGGTTTTGAGGCTGTCTCCTTGGCAGGTCATCCTGACTGTATGTCCCAAGGCCACAGACAATGCAGGCTCCTGAGTCAGCCCGGAGGAAACCACGGAACCTGCAAGAGAGGACAGGAGGGGTGTCTGAGGATGAGGCTCTCATTTCCAGAGCCCCACACCCTCCATCACTTTCTGTGCTGAGCTAAAGCTCAGGGCTGGGCCGATCCCTGGTTCTGTAGGGGCTGAGCACTGGGAGGCAGCACCTGTGCAGAGAGTGAGGAGGATGAGCAGGGGAGGGGTCCAGGCCATGGTGGAGACGACCCAGTGTTCTGCTTCTGAGCCCACAGCTGGGGAGGAACCTCCAGGTCTCTCTTATCATAGGAAGGGGAATCTCTTCATGCAAATTTACTTCCTTTATTCTTATGTCGCTATTAGGTGGCTCTAGTGAGCAGTGGATGCAAATCTGCTCTCCATTCCCTAAAACATTTGTCCTAGTTCTGTCTGGGCCGTGAGCCTGATGGCCTTCTCTGAGTAATTTCTCAAGATCAGAAGAAGCGTCAAGTGTGTGTTAAGATTTACCCAATACAAGGGGCCTTAAAGGAAGCAACAGTACTGCCCTTTGCATTTGAGCATTACCAGGGGCTTGGACTCATTAGGGGCCTCAGACTAAACCTCACAGTGTCCCCTGGTGCCCATAGTGTGAATGTCATTTTCTGTAGGTCACTAGATCACTCAAAAGGGCTGCCTATGAGCTCAAAATTCATGCCAGATTCATTGGTGAGAGTTTTAGAAGTGTTACCTCAAGAAGACTTTTATAATATGGAATAGGATGTTGGGGAGCCTTATGCTCCAAACCTATCTTTATTAGTAAATCGATATTAGGAGGTTAAATATTTTTCCCAAGTCCTCCAGACAGTAGTGAGTGGAGTCAAGATTCCACCCAGGAGATGCACCTCAGAGCACGACCTTCCAGGCCCTCCCTGCCCCGCCTCTTGCACCCTACTCCATCTCCTCATTCTCCCATATCCAAGGTCTTTGAGGTCCCTCTTGTTTTTACTTGCTAAACTTCCCACAAGAAGATACAAAAGAGCTAGCGATCTAAATGGCAGAAAGATATTTTCTCACAGTTGTGCAGCTGGAAAATCCACGATAAAGGTGTTGGTGGGTTTGATTTCCCCTGAGGCCTCTCTTTTTGACTTGCAGGTCGCTACCTCTTTGCTGTGTCCACACATGGTCTTTCCTCTGCACGCTCATCTCTGGTGTCTCATTTCTGTGTGTGCAAATTTTTACTTTCTAGGATGACATCAGTCAGATTGGATAAGAATCCACCCTAATTTCTTCATTTTCACTTAATCACCTCTTTAAAGATGCTGTGTGCAATTTCGGTCACACACACACTGCATTACAGCTTCAATGCATGAATTTTGGAGAACTAATTGAGCCAACAACCCTCCATCCTATGGACTCCAGAAAACTCTCTTCCTGTTATACTAAAGTTCTCACAAAACTCAGAGCAAATGGATGAAGATGAAAGTCATGAGCTTGTGACACAGGGCTGTCTTGAGCAGAGACAAGATCCAACCAAATAGATGGTACAAGTATGTTCTTATCCAAAGAAAGACCTCAGGCCACTGTACGAGGTGAAATACAGTGTCCCTCACAAAGAGGTCTCCACCTAGAACATATGCTGGTGCAATTTTCAGACTTCAAATAACCCTAGAAACCAGGGAACATTAAACCACATCCTGTGGGACATCCCCGGCCTGCCACGTTTTTTAAATATCCCCACAACTGATAGCAGTTTTCATATTTTTAAATGGTTACATTGCAGATGGTGCTATCAGAACCTACATATTATCCCCAATGTTGTCTCATGTGTGACAAAGACTAAAATACTTCTTATCTAGACATTTAAGAAAGAGTTTACCAAATTCTAAAAAGTAATGAGCCCTAAAATATTTGAGTAAATGCTGAACCTCAAGCAAAATAGGAGAAATCAAAAATATAAGTGCAACAAGATAATTTTTTATGTCTCACAGGTTGGCAAACGTTTGCACTTTCAGCAATGTACTTCCATCGATATTTAGGGCTGGCATTGTAAACTGGTAGAACCCCTCTGGAGGGGAATGTGAAAACAATGGGTAAAAGTTAGAAAGGCACATCCTTTTGACCCAACAATTTCACTTCTGGAAATTCATCCTACCTTCATATACACACAGGAGCTCAAAGGAGTCTGCACAGGATGCTCGCTGCAGTGTGATTTGTAAGATCAAAATCATGCTGATAACCATTAGAGGTTGCCTGGCTAAAATCCTGCTGTGGAATACTCTATAGCCTTAGAATACTTGGGCAGTGCTCTATGCCTAGGATGTCCCGGGATAGAATAAGAAATGGTGCATGTAGGGTATGGTCTTTGACAAGGGGGACCAGGACAAAAGCCTTACACTTCATTCTCTCCTTTTCCTCTGAGCTTTTCCACATCAGCCAAGCAGGGTAGGGACAGTAAAAGCCCCTCAGGCAGGGCCTGGCCACCTGCTCTGGTCTCTGAATGCAGCCTGGCCTGACAACTTGGCTGCAACTTTGTAACCAACCCAGAGCCAGAACCACAAAACTAAGCGACTGTCAATTCCAGGTGCACCGAAGTGACAAGATCACAAACACATGTTCTTTTACCATGCTCACTATTAGGGAGCAATTTTTATGCAACAATAGGCAATAAATACAATTTGATTTTTGAAATACATTTTCTTGTGGATATTTCAAGTACACAACATATTGATATAGGATACATGTAGAATAAAATGGTTACTTTGTTTTTCGTAAAATCCATTTAATCGAAGTTTATGAAGCCTAAACTATATATAATCATGGCTATGTTTACCAATTGATTAAAGAAATTTAAATATTGGATGCAACTAATGTCTGAATATTTATTAAATTAATTATCTCCTTAAGTAGATTAATAAAGATTTCAGCTACAAAAGTACTGATGTCCATGGAAATCACAAATGCTGGATGTCAGTGAGGAAGAAGGAATGGACTCAGGTTAACTCTTCCCTGTGGAGCCATTTTGGAAGCTCCCATCCTATAGGGAGACCATTCACTTTTGGGGAGTTTCCAGGACAGGGCCTCAGCGATGTGCGACAGGGGAATTTTGAGGGAGCGCTGAGCCTGTCTCTCAAAATCTCCCCAGTACACCTACCTGAGGTATTGAGGAAAAGAGGAGGAGCAAAAATAAGAAAAACATGGCCAGGTGCAGTGGCTCACGTGTATATTCCCAGCACTTTTGGAGGCCGAGGTGGGTGGATCACTTGAGATCAGGAGGTCAAGACCACCCTGGCCAACATGGTGAAAACCTGTCTCTACTACATACACAAAAGTTAGCCAGGCGAGGTGGTGGGCACTGTAATCCTAGCTACTCAGGAGGCTGAGGCAGGGAGAATTGCTTCGACCTGAGAGGCTGAGGTTTTAGTGAGCCGAGATTGTGCCACTTCATACATCATGGGTCTGAGAAATGCCTCATCCGTTATTTTGGGGCCAAGAGCAGAAAGGCTCTGCTGCAGGTGCAGGCAGGGGTGTGAGTGTCCTGCTATTGGGACTGAGAAACTAGCAGACTCCGCCATAATAGAGGAACTGGACATAGGAACTGAAACCTTGTGCTTAAGGCAAGGCTTCAGAGGAGAATCCTACTGTAGACCCATGGGATTTAGCAGCAAGTCTATGTCATGTGCAGTTGCGAATTATTTCTCTTTTGAAAACAACCTCTGAGAAGCTACTGGGCTTCTCAGCAGTGCCAGGTGGGTCACAAGGAAGAGGGGATCTGGGCAGACTTCACAGTGTCCCCTCCTCTGGTTTGCTCTGTTGGGAATCACAGGCTGCCACACAGCCTGGGGCCAGGACCTCAGCAGGGCTGGGCAGCAGTTCTAGAGCCTGATCCAGAGAGTTGATCTCAGGAGTTGCCCTGTCCCAACCATATGACCATCCAGGGGCAGGACAGTGGACAGAGGTTGCCTCTGTCTGTGTTTCTACCCAGGCCCTCATTCTCTAACTCACACAACAGCCCCAAGTCACCAGATGATTCTGGTCCTTCCAGGCCATGTCTCTGCCTGATGTATGCTCTGTAGAGACTCCTGGAGGGGGCTGGAGGGAAGGGCGCCTGAAAGGCTCAGATCCAGGTGAACTGGGCCAGATTCACTCATGGCTTTATCCACAGGCCTCCCGGGGCTGGAGCAAGAAGGTGGCAGAGGCTGGGAGGGTGTTTTGGTCTCACTTCCCCATCTGCCTGTGTCACTGTGGGATGATCACTACTACTGTCCCACACCTGACAGTAATAGTCAGCCTCATCCCCGGCCTCGACCCCGCTGATGGTCAGGGTGGCGGTGTTCCCTGATTTGGAGCCAGAGAATCGCTCAGGGATCCCTGAGGGCCGGTCACTATCATAATAGATGACCAGCACAGGGGCCTGCGCTGGCTTCTGCTGGTACCAGTGCACATATTTACTTCCAAGGTTGTCTCCCCCACAGGTGATCCTGGCCATCTGTCCTGGGGACACTGACACCGAGGGTGGCTGAGTCAGCTCATAGGAGACCGCAGAGCCTGCAAAGGAAAAGAAAGAAAAAAAGTAGAGGTTAACTTGCAGGTGAAAGACCCTTTTTATGAAATCCTTGCCCTCCTGATGTGGACAAGTTCCGGAGAGTCTGTGAACCCTCAAGGTAACCCCTGCGATCAGCCCCAGTGCCAGTGGCCCATGGACTTTCCTGTTGCGTGGAGCCTTTGAACGGAAAACCCACTACTCTCTCCTGGCAGGTGCAGCCGCTCAGGCTCTCACAAGGCCTTGAGCAGAGTGTGGGGGGAGTTCAGCCCCAACAGCCCCCACCCTGCAGCAGGGTCATGAGCATCCTGCCCACCACAGGCAGGGCCCCGCTGAGCTCAGAGTCAGGGCCACACTGGACCCGGAGCCCTGGAGTTGGGCAGGTTGGTGAGACTCTGGCGGCAGCACCTGTGCAGTGAGCGAGGAGGCCGAGGAGGAGAAGGGTCCCGGCCATGGCTGAGGCACCGCCAAGGCTGCTTCCCGAGGCCAGGCTGGGCAGGTTCCTCTCAGGCCTCTCTTATACCTTTGCTGAAGAGAACAGCCCGTGATGCAAATCAGCAGCGTCAGGAGCTGCTGCTGGAGGAGATCTGTGGTTTCCAGTGAAGGGCTCAACCCAAAAGGAAACAGAGAGAGGAGGGGTGGCCCCTGCTTACCCACCCCCTCAGCCCATGCGATTTTCCTTCACCCACTGATCCCACGTTGTGGGCTCACATCTTTACCCAGATTGTGCCCAGCCTTGCTGCTTGGCTGGGTTGGTCATGGAAAAGCTCAGAGCTGAGTTTCTCTTCATTCTCTAGGGGATACAAAGTTCTTCCTACGGGATAGTGCTTGGCCTTGTTCAAGAGGATGCCAGAGTCACAGTGGTGATGGGGGAATTACCTGGAGTCCACAGTCCCCTCCTCCCTTCCATCCTAGCTCAGGAGGGAGGTGGTTAGCTTTTGTCTGTGTCTCTAGAAATGTCCTGGTCATAAATATGTTATGCCAGATGTGAGATGTCTGGTATAGGCGTAAATCCATTTTGAAGACACATGCAGAGCCCAATGCAGGACTCTCTTCATTCCCACTCTACAGGGGCCAGCAGAAGCCTTGGACAGGTCGGGGCCTCACCCCAGGGCACAGCTCCTCAGTGCTAGGGGAGAATGAAATTGCTTGGTTGCCAAGTGCACACGGAGTGTTGCAAGATCCATGGGATGTGATAAGTTTCTACCTTGACTGTGAGTTCTAGTGCCAGGTCATAGGTGCTGTGCCTCGGTATCACCAGGGTGCTTTCAGGACCAGGGACAGATCAGCATGGGAAGGAGATGTTTGCTTCATGAGAAAACGAGAAGGGACTGCAAACTCCAAGACCCTGGGAATGAGTGTTTATTATAACGAAGTTGTCTTCAGTTGCTGGGAAAATGTATCAATGGATAAAAACTGAAATCAAGGAAAGGTTAATGAGCAAGTATTTTGTGCCTCATAAGGAAATCAAGAGCTGTAATTTGGGGGGTTCACCAGGACAGACTGGGAAGAGTGGACATGGAGGAGTGGCCAGGGAAGGAGAAGTCCCTATGTCTGCAGGACAGGAGCTCCCAGAGCAAAGGGCAGAGAGGTGGGATATGTTTGACTACAGAATGGGATGGCATATGTGACCGTGAGATGGGGGGCGGGCTATGGGAAGAGGCAAAGTGCCTGAATCTGTGTCAGAAAAATAGGCACCATCTCCAAGAGTCAGATCTGAGAACCAGGAAGTCAGAAGACTTTAAACATCAGTGTCAAGGACAAGTACTCTAAGAAAAGAAGAACCTCTTTCCCTCCAGGTCTCAGGTCACGGTCACTGACCCTCCCTGCATGGCAGCATCTCCCTGATGCCCAGGCCCACCCCATCCCCAGGAGTTTCTGCCAGGTTGCTCTCTGCTGCCCCCTGGTGGCCTCTCTACGGTGGCTGCTGGAGGCTCATGGGGTCTCCTGGGTCCAGGTGTAGATTCAGAATCTGATGCTTAGTTCCCTGATTCCTTCATTCGTGGATTGCTGACCTCAGGGAAGAAATTCCTCTTCTCTATGTGGCCCGTTCCTGCCTCAGGACCTGGCACAAGGCACTCAGATTCCTGATGGAAATACAAACACTCACATGTGGAGGAGGAGGTGACAGGGCCCTCCTGAGGCTCCCTGCACGTGTCACTGGGTGGGGGGTGGTCCTGAAGGGGGACTGGGACTTGGTACTGAGGGATACAGGACTGAGGTGTGGCTCTGACTGGGTCTGGATGCAAATATAGGGCCAATGTGGGGTTGATGGTGACGCTTGCAATACAACAGAGACAGAAGCTCATTCACTCAACAAATATTCCCCCGACCCACTCTGTCCTGGCAAGACAGCATTTTAGGAATTCAGCGTGAGGAAGACACAGTCCTTGCTCTGAGGAGTTTCCTGTCCTGTTGCTGGGTCAGTGCAGTAGGCACACTGGGTTTACAGACCCAGCAGATACTCCCTACACCTGTGTGTCATCCCCTCTACAACTGAAAACCAGGCAAATGTCCAGTGTCTCCCAGCCAGGAGTGACCATGTATGTAGCCTACCATTGATCCATGTGATGTAAGAGTCAGATGGCTGAGTTTGCCCTCAGGAAACTTTTCCTCTTATGAAGGAAGGACTAATTCGGATTTGAGCTTTGCTTTATCTCTTGAACATGGGTGTGATAACTGGAGCTGCAGCAGCCACGCTGAGGCCTTATATCAACAACAGTGAAAGCAAAGTCAACATCGCATTGAAAGGGAATGGAGAGTTACAAATATCTGAGCTTCCTGTGGCACTGGTGAGCATCTGGAACTCAACCACCAAGCACATGCACACTTATTTTTGTGGAAGAAAATTGGATGCTCCCTGGTTCCTGCCATACATGTACTTGTAGTGAAAAAGCATTTCTGACTGATAATGCAATGATTAATAGAAGTAAATCAATCAAAAATAATGAAATAGAAGAATAACCGTGGAATTGTATGCAGATAATCATGGAAAGTTCCGACAGAAGCTGACTGGCGGCTGCCGTAGATTCAGTGTTTGGAGAAGGCCTCCCTGAAGAACAGTCTGCGGAGCTCCTTTGAGGGAGGAGTGAAGACAGGAGTGATGGAAGTGTGTGCGGGGAGCTGTGTCTGTGCCCTGGGGGGAAGGGTCTCGGGTGTGTGAGGATCTGAAAAGACAGTGGGAAGCCTGAAGGGGATCTGGGATGTAAACCAGTTCAGGTCAGATGTGGCATTTGCTCACAAGTGAAGAATTTGGGGACAGGCATGATGTGTAGTGTGTGAAATTCACAGGTAATAAATTAGGTGATCTGGGGCAGCATAGCAACGAAATCACTCTTGACCTCCAGGAAGATGCTACTGTGTAGGGACAGGTGTGGCTTGCGTGGGTCCAGACCAGGTCCCAGCCCTTCTCTAGTTCACCTGGCCCTATGGACACTCAGGGACTGGTTCCTTGTCCCTCCCCTCTACCTGATGCCCACCATGTAGCCCTGGGGGGACCCACCCTGCTGCCTGTGTGTCTGGTCCTTAGCCAGCTTTCTGGGACCCAGTGTGGGTGACCCAGCCCTGCTTTCCCTGAAGTTCTAGAGATTTGCTGACCCAGGGGCAAAGAATTCAGGGAGCGCACTTAACAAGGAAAAGAAGGGTCTGTGAGAGGGAGTGACAGTTCCAAGGTCACTGGGGAAGGAAGAAAGAAGAGCAAGATCAGAGAAATCTTAGACCCTTAATGATGAGCTCTTTCTAGTGGCCTGGAAGCATCCTGGGCTTGGGGAGGGTACATCGGATAATCTTAAGTCAAATTTTGGAGGTCCTGATGCAAACAGCTTCCCGTCATCAGTTCTTCCAGCTGCCTGTAGGGAGTGCTGCTCTACCTTTCAACCTGACAAAATTTTTAATACAATGTTTTAGGTTTAGGAATCCCCCCATAAGAACGATCTATCTAAGTTAATGTTCTATTAACTCAACTTATAAGTTGTAGATATATTAATACAATGGTATTTCTCAGTGCTTTTCTGAGCGGAGTATCATTTTCTGTTTTTGTTTTTGTTTTTGTTTTTTCCATTTCCATGAGTTGTGGCCATAAACACAAGCCATGAGCATTGATACAGGAAGCCTCTGCTTTTCCTATTCAATACATCCCACACCTGACATAGTTACCTTATGTAAGTGTCCTACAGTGAATTTTGAAAAACATGGGTTGAAGCAATAGGCAGAGAAATGTCACCTGTGGTAAGATTTTACCCAAGAGTCACACAGGGTATTACTCATGGAGCAAATAGATGATGTTCACATGCAGGTGACCCTGCACAGGTGTGACTGAGTCATTCCGGGTCAGACATGAGGTGAGCACATTTCCTTCCCATTGACAAAGGTGGCTTCTGTCCTGCTCACCCCTGTGAGAAGCTCCCTCTCTACTCCTGGCTCTTCATGCCGGGAAGATGCTCTTCATGTTGGGAATGCGGAGCTCGGGCTGTCACGGGAGAATGAGGAGACCTTATTTGTGGGCTTTGAACTTCTTGGAATCACAGGTTTTTGTTTTTCTCTGAAAGCACAATTATCAGGGAGCAGAATTTCAGAGTAAGGGCCCCTTACCTGCCCCAGGTTGTACTGAAAGGACTTTTCTAGTGCACATCACCGAGGAGGTCTCCAGGAGCCTGAGACTGGCTGAGTCAGTCCTCACTGAGGCCCAAGCAGCAGGGGAATGTGTGATGATTTCCTCTTGTATTGTGGTTTATTCAAAGATTGAGTTTTCTTTGAAATCCCAAAATCCTGTCACTTGAAATTTGGAGCCTTGCAGAGACGTGTTCACTGCTTCAAGTGGTGGAAAATTCTCCAGTTGGATGAGTTCCTGCAATTGTCTGCACTTTCAAAAGTCTCTAATTTAGAGTTCAGGCATGTTTGTAGAGCAGAAGTTCCAATAAAGTAGGTGTAGAAGAGTGTGTTAGATAAGCAAGAGAGATGGTGAGAGAGACCATGGAAGCGTCCCAATCCCCTTCACCTCTAACACACGTGGTTCACATCTCCCAGGAACATACAGCATGGACAGCAGAGACTGAGGGCTGGAAAGTCTGTGTTTAGAGCTACAGGTTTCTTCATCTTCCTATTCCACTAGAAGATCTAATC